TGGTCTCATTTGCATTCAGGGCATGGTCCAGGGCGCTTCTTAGGGCAGTTCCTCTTGAGGTGACCTGGCTTTTAACAGTGGTAGCAGATGAATGCAGTCATCGAGTTCTTCTTGGGGCCCCAGGAATCAGACTTAGGGTCTGTTTCTCTTAGTGCTGCAGCAAAAGTAGCTGCTTTTTCTTAGTGTCTTTGTTTTCTCTCCTTGGCCTCCTCCTTGTCATGGCTATAGAATACTGAGGAGGTAATTCTTATTAACATTTCAAGTGAGCCACGTGGGGCAAAAGCCATTCTTTGTAGCTTTTTCTCTCCAGCCTCCCATCACATTGGGACCCCACAACCAGTTAGTGTCCTTTCCCCAACCATCAGCACAAGCAGCAGGAATCTTGCTGCAGACCTCTCTGGAGCTCCATATGCTCCTCCACCATAGCCTGTACTGTCAAGGGAAGAATGGCTTCCAGGGGGCTCTTCCCAGGTATTGTGCAAGGTCCTCCTGCTTTCCAGCTTCCAAATGGCTCTCGTGACCCCAGACCACAGGACCTCTGACTCCTAGGGCTTAGTCTGTGTTCTCATGTTCTCCAAGTCCTTGTTCAGCAGCTGCTCATCTGCTGACTCTGGACCTTTCTGGTTCTCAGTGGCAGGAGCAAGAGTGACCTGTAATGTGGCAAGTATTCCCAGGGGTTTCTCCATGTCAGGATGATTCACTCACATCTGCGGGTGGGCCTCCATAGCCAGGGTGTGGTGGGCCAATTGTGTCATTGCTTCTCTGTGCCATGATAGTTCTCGATCCTGCCCTGGCTGGCCTGAGGGCTGGCGCGTGCAAGTGCGCACCACTTCACGGCTTCCTGGGCGCTGGGGGCCCACCTCTCGGGCACCTGCATGGCTGGGGGCCGGCCCAAAGGCCAGCGCACTTTGCCACACTGCTGCCCAGGTGCCAGGGGCCCTCCTCCTGGGCGCCTGCGGGGCTGGGGGCCGGGCGAATCTCGGCGCACCCCTCCACGCTGATTCCCAGGCACCGGGGCCTGCCTCCCAGGCCTCCATTTAATCTTAAAAGCATGCACATGATAATGTGCATTGACATTACCACTTTCAAATGAAAAGATTGTGGTGTACAGAAATGGAATAAGTTGTTCGAGTTTTCCCAAGTGGGAAGCTTGAACTTGAGGTGTTTTGGCTCAAAATTTTATTCTTTTCAAAATGTTATGCCAGAGGGGCTTGGCTTCCATTTATAAGGGTGCTCTAGTGGAAGCCAGAGTAGCTTCCGTCATTCATTCTCCATACTGCAGATTTTAGTTTTTGTATATGTTAATAGTAGTACTAGTAAATGAGAGAGACATAAAACTAAGTGGCAGGACAAACCACAGCATTTATCTCTAGGAAAAACCCTAAACTATGCTAATTAAGTTCATTTGTGAAAACTAAAATACATTTGTATATGCAGGTGTCAGGAGAGGTCTTAGTGCTTTTGCTTTTGCTTCAGCTATTGTCCACCCACTGGTAAAAGTTTTTAGCCAGTTGGGGTGGTGTATGTCTATAATCCTAGCACTCAGGAGGCTGAGGTAGGAGGACTGCCTAGAGGTCCAGACTACCCTGGACTACACAGTGAGTTCAAGGCCAGCCTGAACTGTATAGCGAGACTTGGTCTCAGGCAGGCAAAAAAGTTTCCTTAGATGCTGCTAAATGGAAATCATAGTTGCTGCTGTTTCTGCGCAGATGATCAGTAATTGTATTTGTTGCTCTCCTTAGTAATCTCTGGTACGTAGGAAAAGGGGCTAATTTGAAGCTCCTGTTCACTTTTTCCAGGCATCTGTCCAGTTTCTGAAAATTAGTGAAGTTCTGGAGGATTGCTGACAAAATCAGCAGTGTTGGCATTAGGAACACGCATTTGACAAGTATGAGTCACACAAAAGTTCACTTGGCCTGTATGATACAGTAATTTGCACCTTGGCGCAGTGGTCATACGTTCTTTGTGGCAGTGTGTTTTGCTACTCCTTTTTTCTTGTGTTTCACTTCTTCCCGTTCTTGTCTTTGTTCCTTTTTCATTTCCACTTTTGTCTCCCTTTCTTGTAACTTAGAACTTGTAAAGGAAAGGGACTGCTTAATTGGTCAGTGACATGAAGGGTGGTTTCTAGTGTCTTCTGGTGGGAAGAGCAACCCAGAGAAATGCTCCCGAGATTCCTGGTGCTGTGTTGTAATCTCACGCGGTTACTTAACTTTGTTTTAGGAGCTGCAGCCATGAATGAAGAAAATATGGATGGAACAAATGGATGCAGTAAAGTTCGAACTGGTATTCAGAATGAAGCAGCATTGCTTGCTTTGATGGAAAAGACTGGTTACAACATGGTTCAAGAAAATGGGCAGAGGAAATTTGGTGGTCCTCCTCCAGGTGTGAATTTATCTTGTTTTATTTATAGGCAGGGTTTCACTGTGCAGTTCAGGCTGGCCTCCTTGTAACTGCTTTAAGAGGGTAGTCATTTTGAGGTAGATTATAAATGTTACCTTACAGTGTTGCAATCCTGCTCTTGGTTTGAGCAGCAGATGGGAATGAAGTTGGGTTGAGAAAGAAGCCAGGATTAGAGCCTTGTCCTAAGTATACTCTTGCTATTAAAGAGGGGCATTTGGAGAGGAAGTTGGAAGATCAGTGAGCACAGGAGTAGTAGTTACACAGGAAAACCAGATCCAAACAGGTAAGCAGATAAAATGTTTTTACATTGTCTCCAATAGCCAGTGTAATTCTTTTGATCAAAACTCTCCAGTTGACTCGTTACACTCACATTCTGGCTTCTAGTTACCTCAGTGGTTACTGCATCATTTTACTTCTTTGCTTCACTCTTGAGTATGCTTGAGTCATGCAGATCTCCAGCCTGTTTGCTCCGATGTATAAACCTTCTGCTTTTTCCTTTTCCTGAATGATCTTTCCCCAGATTACCTACCCTAGTAGACCGTTCCCTCATTTCATTCGGGTCTCAGTGTAACTCCTGTGCTCAGAGCTTTACCTGACTACCTTACTGTGTGAACTATGTATGTGCATAAAAATTTAAGATGCACTGCTGGTTTCATGTTTATGAAAACTAACCTTACTTAATCTTTTTTTTTAAATTATTTTTTATTTTTTGGTGCCGGGAATTGAACTCACAACCTTGTGCTTGCTAGGCAGGTGCTGTGCTGCTGAGCTATATCCCGGGCCCCTTGAATTTTAACAGGCCTTTTACATACATTGTCTCATTCAATCTTAAAAGCAAGATGTAGCTAGATTTTTCTTCAGGTGGTGGCACTGACCAATGACTTACTCTCACCCCTCTCGAATATAAGGTTCACAAGGGAAGGGGCTTTTGATCCCAGCACCTAGAATAGTGCATGGTACGTTCAGCAAATTTGTTGAACGAATCATGTTTGAAAAAGAAGTACTTTTTTAGAACTTTTTAATGTCTTAAGTATTTTTGTCTTTCAGGTTGGGAAGGTCCACCTCCACCTAGAGGCTGTGAAGTTTTTGTAGGAAAAATACCTCGTGATATGTACGAAGATGAGTTAGTTCCTGTATTTGAAAGAGCTGGGAAGATATATGAATTTCGACTTATGATGGAGTTTAGTGGTGAAAATAGAGGTTATGCTTTTGTGATGTACACTACGAAAGAAGAAGCCCAGTTGGCCATCAGAATTCTGAATAATTATGAGATTCGACCAGGGAAGTTTATTGGTGTTTGTGTGAGCTTGGATAACTGCAGATTATTTATTGGAGCTATTCCCAAGGAAAAGAAGAAAGAAGAAATTTTGGATGAAATGAAGAAAGTTACAGAAGGAGTTGTAGATGTCATTGTCTATCCAAGTGCAACTGATAAGACCAAAAATCGTGGTTTTGCTTTTGTTAAGTATGAGTCTCACAGAGCTGCTGCTATGGCTAGGAGAAAATTAATTCCAGGTACATTAGTCCTTTTAAAGATAAATTTTCCGTACTAATTTTATAAATATGGAAAAATGACAGTAGTTAGTTACTTCAGTGGTTAGGCCATTATCAACAAGATGTATACTGTCCCTTGAAGAATAAAGAATTCATAAGGAAGTAAAACAAGTTATTCTTACAGACAAATTCTTCCTGAGTCTCATTATGATAATTTACCAATTACCAAATGTGTGTACTTTATGTTGTTATTGTTTAGTAAAAACCCAAAGGGCATTTTAGTTAATTCAGTAAAGGTCTAGCCTTAAGTTATGTTTGTTGTCTTGATTCTTAAATCCCACCATAAGTTCTGGTTATAAGTTTGCCTTAGTAAAAACTTGTATATGAATTACCAGGTATGTTGATAGGAGCTTGAGCTTTCTGCTTCTTTGGAGAAACATACCAACATTTTAAACTTTCGTTCTTTATTTTAATTGTTTTCAAATTAATATGTTCTTTTTTTATAGGTACATTCCAGCTGTGGGGCCATACCATTCAGGTGGATTGGGCTGATCCGGAGAAAGAAGTTGATGAGGAAACCATGCAAAGAGTGAAAGTTCTCTTTGTAAGAAATTTAATGATCTCAACTACAGAGGAAACAATTAAAGCTGAATTCAATAAATTCAAACCTGGTGCAGTTGAACGAGTGAAAAAACTGAGAGATTATGCTTTTGTTCACTTTTTCAACCGAGAAGATGCCGTGGCTGCGATGTCTGTCATGAGTGGGAAGTGCATTGACGGAGCAAGTATCGAGGTGACGCTTGCAAAACCAGTGAACAAAGAAAACACTTGGCGGCAGCATCTTAATGGCCAGATGAGCCCCAGTCCTGAAAGCCTGATTGTGTACGCTAACAAGGAAGAGGGCCACCCCAAAACTCTAGGCAAGCCGCCAGCTCTTCCTGCTCGTCTCAACGGCCAGCACAGCCCCAGCCCCCCTGAAATTGAGAGAGGCACTTACCCTTTCTTTCCTGGGACAAAGCTTACTCCAATTAGTATGTATTCTTTAAAGTCCAGTCATTTTAATTCTGCAGTAATGCACTTGGATTATTACTGCAACAAAAATAATTGGGCGCCGCCAGAATATTACTTATATTCAACAACCAGTCAGGATGGGAAAGTACTCCTGGTGTACAAAATAGTTATTCCTGCTATTGCAAATGGATCCCAGAGTTACTTTATGCCAGACAAACTCTGCTCTACAATAGAAGATGCAAAGGAACTGGCAGCCCAGTTCACGTTACTTCATTTGGGTAAGTTTAAAAACACGTTGCTATCATATAATATGAAATAGTATAATTATAAATTCATTTATTTTGAATTCAACGAGTGATAAACATTTAATATGAATTTTAGCTTCATGTAATCATGACATTTATTACCTCATGTCTAATCTTCCCACATTTATCTTTTTAAGCATTATTTACATCGAGGAAGATTTGTAAAAAATTTCATTTACTAGAGTTTAGATCCCTTTTCATTACTTTGTTTTGCAATGACTAATCCTCATTTGATAAAAATTTCTACATAAATTAGAGCACTTGGTGCTAACACAGTTTATAAGATTGCCCCACATCATTGGTGAGATCTGCACATGATGTTCTGGGAGTAGGGACGGGGACTTGGTAAAGTGGACTTCACTTTTTGCTCACCAATCTGGAGATTGCTCATTACTCAAGAAAGACAAAAAGCATCATTAAGATATATTTAGGACCATTCTCATGCTTTTTTAAAAATAGCAGATTTTCTCTAAAATGAGGGATAATTAAGAAGGCTCTATGCTGACTAAATATTTGACATTGTAAAAAAAGAGACATTCTGGTGTTGTTCTACTTACTTTTTAAAAACTGTTACGTTAGCTTCTCCCCTGCCTACCAGTTTGTGTCATTTTTTATGTACCTGTGCATTTTAGTTGGTGAATTACTCTGAACCCAAAACAATATTTCCTAGAATAGTAGTGGTTTTTTCCAGAGTTAACAGTCAAAGGGAGAAGACTCCCAAGAGTTACGATTATTGATTATTGAGTATAATTGTCAAAGTTGTAGCTTAATACTTACATTCACATTTTCAGTAGTGCAGTTTAAGACTATATTTGTGAAACGTCTGCGTAAAAGTCTTATTCTCAGATTTGTTCAAGAGAAGTAGTCACAAAGGAAAAACACTGTCAAAAGGGAGAGTTAATTTAATATACCATACAACTTCTTTATCATAGGCACTCCTGTAGTATTAGGAGTATTTTATGGAGATTCTATTTGGAGATGTCATCAAAATTTTAAGGCTTGCAGGCAGAGTTTCCTTCAAAGAAACTTCAGTAGTATGTTAGTACTGTGGAGATACTTGAAATTTAACCATCTAAGTTAATAAATTCTTAGGTATGATTTCTTCTGATATACAAATAGAAGACTTCATTTTCTTTTAATGCACTCCATCTGTGTTAAAGATAAAATTAGATGGATCGTAAATAAATTCAAATTAGAGTTTTTAGAAAAGAATGAATCAGAATATTTGAGTGGGATATAAGGGCCATTAGATGCTGATCAACGTTTTTCCCAAGACGCTTGTATCTGATCTACCATGATAATTCTGAAACATTTTTTCATTCTCTCTCCACTCATTCCCTTCAATTTTAACTGAAATGTCTGTGATTCTTACATCATAGATGTCTTGGTCTGTTTCAAGGAAGACATTTTTGTAGACATGGTTGCCTGCCTGGCTACCCTGTAAAGATTTGATTCTGTGTGGAACCAGAGGCCACTCATGAACTTCTAAGTCACTTATTAGGGTGCTTTTAATAGTTACCTGTTACTGCCTTGTAGTTTCCTAAGAAAACCTCTAATCAGAAATAGTATTCCCAGTTTGATTTGGGTTAATTATGGATGAAATTAGCTTTTATACATTCAGTCTTTAGAGAGTGCAGTTTGCTTATCTCAGGTTTTATCAACCTTGTTTAAAAAACTGCTTTTAATAAAAAGTTGAATACTTGAGGTATTTCCTCAGTGTCTGTTGTTCATCAGTGATAAGAACTAATAAATTATAAACATACATTAAAAATTGAAACTCTAGGTCGGATCTAGGTATAGCGCACAAGGCTTGAGACCTTAATTAAGGGTAGTAACACAAAAATCCTTACTGTGCTTGAATAGAAATATAAGTGAAAGTTGAGTTAGAGGTAGGGCATGTTACACAGATACTCCTCCTTTGATGACTGTCCAGATTTTGGCCTAAGAGGAGCTGTTGGACTTAGGGCCTGCTCTCTTGACTTACACACAACACAGGAATGTGAGCAGGAGTGCGGTCTCACAGTGGCTTCTGCGTACAGTACTGTGAGTTGTGCTGGTTGTACTGTACAGTGCAGTACTGTAGCTTTACGTTGCTGTACCTTGTAGTACTGCTTGTAAGAGTTATGCAGATAAGAGCAAAGTCATTCAGTTGAAGCTCCTTTGACCATGTCTTTGCTGTAAATGTTGTACACACGATACACAGTTCCTCATTTAGTGACCAATTCAGTTAACACGCAGTCACAGGAACTGAGCTCCACTGTTAAATGAGAATGTCTGTAATTAGGCAACTGAGGAACAGGAGAAAGAGAAGCCAGGGATACATCCAAGCTGGAGATCAGCAAAATCAGACGCTTTGATTGGAAAGCGAATGGCAGATGTTCAGAGGTCCTTAAGGACAGGGTCAGGAGCTAGATAGACAGCTAGGAATGTCCCCATGCGACAGGCTAAGAGAAGAGGAGTATTCCTGTAGTAACATCTAGCTCACTTTTTCCCTCTCCAGTAATACTAAGCTTTTAATTACAGATCTTCAAGGTGTTGATGCTTTTTAAGATGCATTTTCTTAGGTAAAGCTTGTAGTATTTCATTAAATAGTGCAGGGTTGAGATCAGTTGGTGAATAATGATGTGGTTAATGTTCTGCTAGATAAATAATTATAAACAATTGACTTTTCTGAGATCTTGAGATTCTGTTACTAGTTCTTTTTTTGTGTGTGGTACTGGGAATTGAACCTCATGCCCACCAGGCAGGTGCTGTGCCACTGAGCCGTATTCCTGGTCCCTGTTACTAGTTCTTGGGTTCCCTCAAATGAGCTCCTCATGTATTGATCACCTTTGGCTCTGTTAAAGCATTTGAGGAATTTAAATTTTCTAGGTAACACATTTAACTACTATTTTTTTTTTTTGGTTTTTCTCCGGTACCGGGAACCGAACTCACGACCTTGCGCTTGCCAGGCAGGCGCTTTGCTGCTGAGCTAAATCCCCAGCCCCTTAACTACTATTTTGAAGATATTTTCTTTAGAGGTGGGAATTTAAAAAATGTGCCTGGATAGTCTACATGAACTTTTTTAGGAAGTTTGGTGCTTTTTTTTTCAGTCGTTATTTATCCAGTACCTTGATGATCTTTGTCTGTTACCTTATTTCTAATTTCTTAAAGGATGTACTTCTCCTATACACATACTTTTGGAATTATCATCACCATTATTCAAGTTTGAAAGCTGAAGGAGAAAAACAAATTAGACATGTAATTTAGGCAAAATGACCATCATTTTTGCATTAAGAAAAAAAATATTTTTAGGGATAATAGTCACTTAAATTAGTATTAGAAATCAGAGACTTTATTTCTGGTGGCCATTGAGTGCCAGAATCCCAAAAGTTCTTGGTTGAAAGTACCTTAAAATTAATTTAAAAATATAGGTATTTCCCCACTTAAAGCAAGCTTTAACCAAAATACCCCTAATAGGAGAAAGGCCAAAAGCTGAGATGAATGGAAAAGTTGAACCTTCCTTATTTTTACTTCAGAGTTAAGAGATGATCTTCATTTTCATAATTCACAGAATATTCTTCCTCATCTCACAGAGAGCCAGTCAGCCAACCAGCAAAATAAGATATGTACGTGCCTGATTTCTTTTTGGAGGCCTGTAGTAAATAGGATGGTGATGAGTTCAGTGGGTAGAATATAGACGTGGGGGTTATGCCAGATCAGCGGTGGCGAGCTTGTGGCCCACATGCTGCAGCGGGCCGTTAGCCCTGAGAGCTCTGAAGGGTTCCCCATCCCTGCGGGCCGTTAGCCCTGAGAGCTCTGAAGGGCTCCCCATCCCTGCTCTGGGCAGATCTGCACCGAACGTGTGAAATTTACAAAAGCACCGGAGCTCATGTAGTGCACTTCTTTTTAAATACGTCTTTTCATTTTATTATTTTGAATCTGACTAGTAATCCATCAGAATGTCGGTGTCCATAACCCAACTTGTCTGGAAAGTTTGACCCTGTTTTGGATTTTGTTAAACATTGTCACTGGTTTTCTCTAAAGGATTATTTCCTGGGTTGGAGTAGAATAAACAGAGTCAAGGACATACAGGAAAAGTCCTAGGGAGTTACAGTTTTGAAGAGGAAAGTCTTGGAGGCTTTTTAGTGGAAGGGGAAGGGCAGGCTTCTTATGCGTTGGTGTGAGTTTACCTTATTAAATAATATACTGGCAAATAATTGTAGGTAAGGTATTTATTTCTCCTTTTATTTCCAAGTATAATGCCCACTAATGCCAGTGGTAGTTGTTTTCTTGTGTGATAACCTAAAGTATTTAAGAACTAGTACATTTTTAAAAACATGGATGAGAACCTTTGAGTCACAAGTTTGTGTTATTGATTTAATTTCATGTGATTTGTGTATTGTTATTTGGCTGTGACTGGTTTTAATTAAGCAGCACATCTTTTTGAATGACTTACGTGCTGCAAATGCTTTCCTATGCATTTGGGAGCTATAGATACAGAAAACATTGTCTTAATGTTATTTGATTCTGATAAAGAAGGCAAATACACAAATTTTGTGCATAAGTTCTTTCGGAGTATTGTGTAAGGAAGGGCATGCCCCTCACTGGTGTGACGGTTATCCCTGAGGGAGTTTACAAGCAGAGAGGCACAGCAAGCTAGATTCCTGGTAGGAACTTACAGTGGAGGTGGGTTGATGACAGGCCATTTTGAATAGGATTTGCTTTGGTGGTTCCAGTCGTATTTAAGAATTAGAGAACTTTAGATGTGGACTTTAGTTAATAAAACTTTCATTAATCCCTTCCTTTAACTTTGTGGGTATGCCTTTTTAGTTATAACTGTTGTATGTTGGGCACCCTTGCTTTTCTTCTGAGCAAGTAATTTTTCTAGATTAAGCTCTCCTTATTTGTGTGGACCATTTTATGTGTGAATATTCTTCTTTTTATCATTTCTGTTTTTTTTTCAGTATTCACATTGTGACTGACTTCTGTAT